AGCTCGGGCTCTCTGGGTACTATGTGCTAGGTTTGGTGCCTTGGTAGGTACAGCACAGTCTAGGGATAGACTACTCCTCAGGTCTGGAGATGGGGAACCCAGCTGATAAGAGGCCTTCATACTCCACCCCAGGGGCCAAAGGAAAGGGAAAGCGGGTGTAAACCAGTACACTGACTCTCATGGAGTTGAAGACATTCTTTCTCTTTCAATCTGGACTCTCTTCACCTCCATCTCTCTCAACTTCTTTCTCACTTTCTCTTTCTCAGCATCTCTCTATCTCTCAATCTTCTGTCCTCTCATAATCTCTTTCTCAATTGCTCTCTCTCTGTCTTACTCTTTCTCACACACACACCCTCACTGGCATCCTAGGATTGATGGGAAACAGTCACCTGACTTCTCTGGGCAGAAGTAGCCAGAGAGAGGGTCCCAAAGGGAAGCAGGGAAAGCTGGCAGCTGAAAGACTGCCAAAAGAGGCCTGCAAATCGGGTCTGCGGTGGTGGTAGGGAGGGCCTTGAGAAGAGAACAGGACAGAGGTGTGTATAGGGGCTAAAGGGAGGTCCCAGGTGAAGAGACCACCATCTTAGTTTAGGGCCTTTACTCACCTGCTAGCATCCTTAAACCTATGCCTAAATGAAAATCACTGATATTCTAAAAGCTTCCAAAGGGATGTGGGCATCCAATGCTGTGGCTTCACTGCCTGTCAAGAGCCACTTTGTCCATATTTGGGCTATCCCAACCTATCTCTCTGCCAAGCCACATGCTAGGGGGCAGCATGGGAGGGTTGGGGGGACAGGCGGCAAGCCTTTGGAGTCAGAGACCTGGATGAGTATTTTGACTCTCTAATTTATGAACTGTGTGCCCTTGGTCAAGTCACTTCATCTCTCTGAGCTTCAGTTTCCACATGCATAAATGAGCTAATATAGTCTATCTTGAAGCATTGTTGTGAGGATACCATGTCGAACATTGTGTATCTTAAAGTCAACTTGTAGCAAACGGAACTCATTGTCTTGGTGTCTACACCAGGTGCCCTACTTACCTTCCTCATCTCTGACCTGAGAATGATGAGCATCCCCAAATGCTGAGGCTAAAAGCCATGAGATCATCTTTTACTTTGTCTTTTGGCAGAAATCCTATCCAATGGTCACCAAGTTCTGGTCAGCCTCTTACCCAGATTTGCCTTCGTCCTCTGTACTCAGGCCAATGTCAAGACCAGAGTCTGTGCAGGACAAGGGCCCACCTTATGTGAGTTATTGGGGGTGGGATGCAGAGAGAGGTCCCTGTCCTAAGACAGTTGCCAAGCAAATGTAGGAGGCAGACTTGTCCAACCTTCACATGAGAGGAGAGAAGCAAACATTAGTGCCAACCAAGAAGGGCAGGGAAGGCTGTGGGGAGAAGCTGGCATTTTGATGGGATCTGAGAAGAGATGGGAGCATTTAAATCAGTGAAACAAGTGAGGATGAGTATTCCAGGCTGTTGTTGTTAGTGTTAAGTGCCGTTGAGTTGGTTCTGATTCATAGCGACCCTGTATCGGGTTTCCGAGGCTGTAAATCTTTGCAGGAGCAGAAAGTCTCATCTTTCTTCTGTGGAGCATCTGGTGGGCTTGTATCATTGAACTTGTGGTTCACAGTCCAGCGTTTACCCTAAAAAGTCACTGCGCTCTCAGCATTTCAGGTTGTTGTTGTTGTTAAGTGCCATCTAGTCGATTCCAACCCATAGTGACCCTGCATAGGGTTTCCAAGGTGCAGCTGGTGAGCTTGAACTGCTGATCTTGCAGTTTCAACTGACTTTGCAATCCAGCGCCTTAAACCCCAGCACCACACCAGGACTCCGTGTTTCAGATTAGGGAACAGCATTTTGAATGCCTATTAGGTGCAGACCCCTTATGCCCAGCAACTAGAATGGAAGACTGCTCTCATAGAGTTTATGAATTCAAATACTACACGTACTATGCGGAGAATAAATAGGGTCTGGAGGAACTGAATGATAGGGGAAGCCCTCCTTAGAGGGAAAACAATTCCAGAAGATCTTAATGATAAAAAGGAGCCATGTGGAACTGATGGGAAGAGCATTCCAGGCAAGGGGAACAGAAAGTGCAAGGGCCTTACGAAAGAACAAGCTTTGTTTCTTCAGGAACCAAGAATTCATTTCTGAAGAAAGACTCATACCCAGAATACATTTTAAAAGAAAAACACACACACAAAAAAACCCCAAAAGCTATCATTCAAATAGAAAAAGACAAGCCAAAATTTTTAATGGGCAACAGACTCAAACAGGCACTTCACGAAACAGGGTATCAAAAGGATACAAAAAATTTTGCTTAACTAGTAAAAAAAAAAAAGGTCGTCCTGGAGCAATATGCCCTTTTTAAATCTATATGGAATCAAATTCAAAATAGCACCTCACAAGATGAGATAGGAACCCTATGGGGCAGTAAGTTTACATTCAAAGACATCTCGGAGTGAACTTGAACCTCCAACCTTTCAGTTAGCATCCATGTAATGGACTCCATACACTGGTGTTGTTGTTAAGTGCTGGTTAAGTCAGTTCTGACCCATAGCAACCCTCTCTAAGGTTTCTGAGGAGCAGCTGGTGGATATGAACCGCCGACCTTGTGGTCCAAAGTGACCTTGGGATCCAGCACATTACCCTATGTATGTTGTTGTGGTTGTGTGCTGTGGAGTCGGTCCCAACTCATAGCGACCCTGTACAGGGTTTCCAAGGCTGTAAATCTTAACGGAAGCAGAATGCCTCATCTTTCTCCCGCGGAACAGCTGGTAGTTTCGAACTGCTGACCTTACGGCTCGCAGCCCGATTCGTAACCACTACTCTACCGTGTATGTAAACAAGAGGTCTGAAGCCATGCACCTCCCTGCCTGATCTGAAAGATCTTTTACCCAGGTCCCTCTGAGTGCAGGGTGGGCAGGGGCCTGTGAGAAGCACAGACAGTGGAGATATGCTAAAACTGGTGTATCCAGCCAGCACCCATCTATCCCTGCACCCTAGACCTGGCTGGTCAGGGCTGAACCCCAGGAGTGGACTCAGTCTGAGCCTTAGACAAGAAGGGGTCTTGGGGAGCACTTCCTCCTCCACTCTCTGAGACCAGGCCCTGAGATGGGAAGGCCTCATCTCACAGCACACGGCAGCAGAGCAGGGCAGAAGCCAAGTCCCTAGCTGTCCAGTCCAGGGATTGCTCCCAGCATGGAGCTGCTCTCCTCATACTGGTGCTCTGCTGAGAGGTGATGGTGTGTCTTGTGAGAGGACATTCTCACACAGGGATACAGGAGGGTGAGCGGAAGCATTTGGAATCCAGAGTTTCCCAGCCATCCTCATCAGGGTGAAGGGGCCATGGGGATGAAGTACCACAATGGCGACAGTAAGTCAGCTGCTCAGCACAGAGCCTGGCTCCTTATAGGACACAATAAAGGAGGTGTGGGACCCAGTACTTGTGAGCTGTAATGTGTCCAAAGAAGTTGGGGGTCAGTGGGGACCACACTCAGTCACCCAGGATCTAGTGGGTTCTAGCTCAAGTTGAGAAAGGCCTGGGGAACTCGGAAAGTGAGCCGCTTGCCTCAGAGGGAGCAGTAGAAAGACAGAAAGGAATAAGATGTCAACCCATGAGTCCTGCTTAGTACCCACATCTGCAGTTCTAGAGCCACGGGGGCTCACTTTTGAGGTCCCCTTCACCATCAGGCCCTCCCATGTGGGATTGACAGGAGGGTGAGAGCTACACTCAGCTCTAGGACCCTGTCAACGCCAAGAGCCTCCAAAAAGCCAGCTAAGGCCATTGATTGAGGGAGAAGAGAGGGCAAGAAGAAGGTTGAGGATCCTGGAGCCTGATGCCCTCCCTCCCTCGATGTCTCTCCCCTAGCCTGGAAGAGGCTTCTGTCGATGAGTCTCAGCTGTTAAAAATAACCCGCCTCTCCATCATCCTGACAGCCGCACTCCGGGACAATGTGTTCCAAGGCCTGAGTTGCTCTCTAGGGACTGGAGCAAGGGGGCAAGAAGGGCTGTGGATGTTCCTGGCTGACCCAGAGCCAGGGGAGTGTGCCCAGGGGCAGGGCCCACAGGCCTGCAACTCAATTCAAGCTTCCAGGCCACAGTCAGCCCTCCTGTTCCCCAAGTCTAGTGACAGGCACCCCATAGGATGGTCCTGGGGTATTGTGCTACCCCCAGAGCCCCACGAGGCACTATAGGATCTGTGTAGGCCCCTCCTGGTGGCCTGGAACTCACTGCCACACTTGTATGGAACTCAGCACTCAGAAAAGGGCCCTGAGCTCCCTTTTGCCACATGGCTTCTTCCCTCTAACTCCCCAGAACACCTCTGACTAGAATCAGAGAAGGCTTTACAGAGGATTGTTTTTAGTGTTAAAATGCCATGGGGTCAGACCCAGCTCATAGCGACCCTGTGTAGGGTTTCCGAGGAGCAGCTGGTGGGTTTGAACTGCTGACCTGTGGTTCATAGTCCAGTGCTGATCCTACAATGCCACACCAAGAGTCCTTTCAGAGGATAGGGAGAAGAAAGAAGGACTCTTGAGTGGTTGTGAAGTCCATGTCCTTGTTGCTCAGATGTAGTCCCCACTATACTGTGGCTCCCTCCCCGCAGAAGAAAGGGGTCACACAGGGCTAAGAACCCAGACTCTGGAGGCATAAAGACCTAGGTTCAAATCCAGATTCAACCCTGTCTAAGGTATAATGTTGAAAAAGGTACTGAAACCTCCCTATGCCATAGTTCCCACATTGTCTCACATTGGGACACCCTAAAAGTCCCAACACCATACACTCACTGTGAAGGTTAAATGAGTTCTACATGTCATTAAATGCATTAAAGCCTGGAAGCACTCAATCAATTATTGTTATTATTAAGGCATCAGAGGTAAGAACATTGGAGTAGAGTTTCAAATCCTGCCTCCTCTAATGACCAGGTAGGTAGCCATGAACAAGTTGCTTGCCCCCTCTGATCCTTAATCTCTTGCCCTGTAGAATGAAATGATGCTACTGACCTCCTCACGCTGTTTCAAGGCTGCTCGTAGGGCCCTTAGGATGGTGCTGAGCTGTAGCCCCAGAGAGGAACAGGCTGAAGTCAGGACATGGGGGTAAAGACAGCTCCTGTCACCCCAGGTCAGAGAGCCCCCCCAGCACTTCTTGAGACCACTGTAGAGCAGACCCAGACACATCCCCCATCCTGAGCTGCATGTCCCCACTCACCTTCATGCTGTCCCACTGTGCCCACAGGTGAGGGGGAAGGAGGGAGAGACAGAGACCTAGAGAACCCAATGGAGAAGAAGGTCAGGATCTGGGATTGGGGAGGAGGGAAGGAGTGGCAGAGGGAGATAAAAGGGAGAAGGAAGGAGAGATTTGGGTGGGGGGATCCAGGGGGAAGTGAAAGAGACCCATAGACACTAGTGAGGCTGAGAAAACAAAAAACAAAGGAGATTTTCTGGAAATGTAGAAAACAGGAATGACCACTCTAAAAGACCAAATGGGAGAGGAAAGAGAAGGGGGTTGCAGCTGGGGAGTCCCAAGGGTGCTGTGGGGGACAGTGATGGAGCTGGGAAGCTGGAGACAACCAAACTCCCCTGCAAACAGGGCTTTTACCTAAGGATGGGTAATATGTTGTCATGACAACAGAGTAGCATTTAGGGTAATTACTGGTGAATAACAAAGAGAAGCGGTGGCAGCCTAGGCTGGTGCAGCAGCCCAGGGAGGGGCATCTTGAAGGCAGCTCCAAGCCCCCATCAGTCCCAGTCCCATCCCAGCCACTTCCCTCAGCCTAGCCCAGGGCTTCTCCAGACAAAGACCCTGCCAGGGCAGCCTTTCTAAACCACACCCACAGGCTCTCCACACAGTTGTGTTGTAGAAACTCCCTAGACCTGTCTCCCCTCTCCATCCGGCCTGGCCTTGACAGCAAACACAGTACTGTGTGGACCACACCATGGGAGGGAAGCAGGAGACGGCTCCTTTAGCTGGGAGAACACAAGGGTCAAAGAAGTGGAGTCATTTAGTTGACAGGTCTAGAAGTGGGCTATCCCTGAAAACTGCTTCCTCAGAGAACACTTATGGGTGAGAAAGCAGGATTCGGAAACAGATGTTCTACACATCTGGTCCTCTACAGACATATTCCATTTCATCTCTGGAGGTACATACTACTATTTCTATTTTAAAGACAAGAAAACAGGCTTGGAGAAGAAAAGTAGCATGTCCAAGGGTCCCCATCTGGTCAGCAACAGATGCTGGATGGACTCCCTTGTGACAAGCGGCCATCTGCCTTGGGATTATTCCAGGCCTGAGACAGGGTAAGGTGGCATTGCAACTTATTGGGTAAATCCCACTGCCAGTATTTAGGAAATTGGGGAGCTTTTATGCAGACTAACTGCAAGGACTGGTCTTGTGCGTCTGGGGGCTTGGAGGTCCTAATAGGCCAAGACTTCTATCCAGTTCTCTGGAGCTTGGGGAAGCCCCCCAGAAACCTGAGTAGCCCCCAGTCTTGATGCCTGTGTTATCACAGCTGTCCTTCTGCTCTGTTCTCTGGGCCCTTGGCCTCACATCCCCAGATCTTCCCGGACATCCAGGACATCCACAGCAGAGCCACCAGGCCAAAGAGATGATGGGCATTCCAGCTGTGGGGGAGCAGAGGAGGGCAGGGGAGGGAGTGGCCTGGAGGGAGGGAAGTCTGGAAGTGCATGCTTGGCTTGGGGCAGGAGAGCCTGTTTGTTAGTAGACCCCCCACTTCTCTGGAAGGAAGAGACTCTGAAACTTTCCCATGCCTCAGGTCCCATGCCCAGAGTCCAGGTGACAAGACTGTCTCTAAGCACCACTCTCCACCCTCCAGGTCCAAACCCTCACCCCCATCATGGGGAGGAGAAAGGTAAGAGACTTGGGGGCTTCTAGAGGCTCTGAACTGCCCACCACCAGAGCTGTTGAGAGGGAAGGGTGTGTGTGTGTGTGTGTGCGCGCGCGCGTGTGCATGTGCGTGTGTGTGTGTGTGTGTGTGTGTGTGTGTGTGTGTGTGTGTTAGGGGAATGAAAAGGCAGCTGGTAAGGTAGGACAGAGGATTTGAGTCTGTTGAGTCTGTTGAATTAATTTCACTCTAAGAATTTGGCCTTTGTCTTTGTTTCCTGAGAGATGATCTCTAAAACCTGGGATTGCAATGACTTTGATGAGGCCTCCAGACCACACCTAATTTAACTGTCTATGGGGTATTGTTGTTGTTAAGTGCCCTCACATCGATTCCAACCCATAACAACCTTGTATAGGGTTTCCGAGGAGCAGCTGGAGAGCTTGAACCGCCAACTTTGCAGTTCAAACAGCTTTGCAGTCTGGTGCATTAACCCTTAGCGCCACACCAGGACTCCATCTATGGGGTGAGGTACTCTTAATGAAGCTGGCCAGGCCAGAAAGACTACAGAGTGATTACCAGCCCAATCACCGGGGAAAAAAATGCTGATTCAATCTGTTATGACTATGTAATGAGGCCCCATTAAAAAGCCATGGCCAGAGGTTTCCTGGTTGGACATAGGCATTGATACATTGATGCACATGGAAGCGTACAGCATCCATAGTTAGGACATAGAAGTTTGTGTTGAGAGCTCCGCCGGACTTTGTCCTATGTGTCTCTTCATTTGTGTCTTTTGTGCTATAATAAAACTGTAGTCATCCGTACAAGTATAGCATTTTCCATGAGTTCTGTGAGTCATTCTACCAAATTATCAAACCCAGAAGAGTAGGGGAAGTCAGCAGGTCAGAAGTGAGAATGTCATGGGGACTCCAAGCTTGTGGCTGGTATCTGAAGTCTTGGGCAGATGCGCCAGTATGGGGGAATGTGCCCTTTAATCTGACCTCACTCTGGGTGGTTCCGGTCAGAGAAGGAAGTGTTGCAGGTGCAGTTGGCATCAGGACAGAAGTGGATCAGAATTAGTAAGATATGGATTAATCAACACATTTGGTATCAAAGAAGTGGGATTTGTTTTTTTCCAGCAGAGCTCTGCTTGAGAATCGTCAACAGATGTGATGAAACAAAAAAGAGAAAGAGAGAGAAAAGGAGGAATCAAAAAAAAGAGAACAAAGTGGGGCTGGTGGTCCTGCAGGGTAGTCTCTCGTGAGAATGTCTCCTCCCACCAAGCCCCCTCTTGGATTCAGACCTGCCCTCAAGAAGCTAACTGCACTGGAACTCTGCCCAGACTGACCATGCTCAGGGGATGCAGATCAACAGCAGTGGGTATTCAGAGATGCAAGGATGTCCTCCAACGTCCTACACTGAGGCTCAAAGGCAGCCAGGTGCACTGTGACCTCTAGGGCTGTCTGAGGCTCTTCTGAGTGAGGACTTCAAAGGAGGCTGCATCCCAGCCAGGCCTTGTGCACAGAGTAAGTTACAGAGCCTAGCTAGAGCATGGGGTGAAGAGGGTGAGGCCCCACCCAGGCCAGAGATCAGGACAAGAAGCACTGTGTCCACAACACCCCAATATGTACCAGTCAGAATGAGCGGCTCGGCCCCACCACATTTACACCTCAACACTGCTCAAGCCAGCTGTTCCTCACTACTAGGGTGCAACGCCATCCTCAACTAACCCAATGACCTCTGTATCTAAAAGCCTGGTAGGTGGGCCAAAGCAGGTGTCATGTAATCTATGATGGCTTGTGGAGAGGTGGGGGTCAGCCTACCCAGCATCTCCCACCCACACCCAAAAGTCATAGCATAACTGCAGACTGACAATTCCCCACAGACTATCCACCCCCCTTGCCCCCTCTTGCAAAGGCGAAGTAGGTGATTGAGCTGAAACCACATACAGAGAGCGGCACCCTGGGTGTCCAGACCCGGGCTCTGGTGGCTCCACGCTTCACCAGTTGTGTCACCTGAGACCCTAAACCACTGGGATCCCGTTCCTGAGTCTGCAGAATGGGAGAACTAGAAATGAAGTCTGATGCACCAGGCTCTTCTCTCCCTCCCTCCAAAGGGGTCTTTGAAACCTACTCCCTTTCTTCTTCACCCATAGAGGTCTTGTCTCCTCCTTTCCATTAACAGGGATTCACAGGAGCACATGGGAAGTAGAGTGGTGATCAGGTGGTGAGGGGCCTGGGAAGATCTGAAGGTCCAAAGAGATCTGCTGCCCCTCACCCAGACCCAGGGGCCTAAGAGACTGAAGGCCAGAGAGAAGAAAATAAACAAGTTTGTTGGACGTCTTCAGCCATGACAGTCTTCTCCTCCTTCTCCCTTCCTCCTCCCCTGCCCCCTGCCCCCTCCATTCTCCTGCTTTTACTCCTCGACCTTTGAGGCTGACCCCTGACACTCAACACTCTTCCTCACTTCCTGGAGACAAGGGACCCTGGCATCCCAACATATTTTTAGGCAGCAGCCTCCAGAGCAGGGCTGGAAGCCCAAGCCATTGGCCCCATGCCACACCCCTCCCTGTCCTCTGTCCCTGAGGGACAGTCTGGGCCAGAAGGCACCTCAGAACGTGAGAGAGCCCACACCAGAGCAATCGCCTGGACAGCATGCCCCACCCCCACCAGGGTCTCTTCTGCCTGAGGCAGGGCCTGTCCACACCAGCTATCAGTTGTCTGCAAAGCACTGCCTCCTCGAAGGCCCTTCCTCCCTGCTTTCTTCTGCCACCAAAGTCCAGCCTTTCCTTCTGCAGAGCCCTGGGAGCCACCCCCTTCCCCTAGTATCACTGTACCCATCCCTCACCACACTGTGCTCCTGTAACTTTGGACCTGAAGGCCTTTCTCTTGCCTGCTAGACCCCTTGACCCCTGGATTCAGGGTGGGGTGGGCTCTCTCTCATGGTCCCTCAAGCCTGGCACAGAGCTCAGCACACCACAGAAGCAGGGCAGGAAGTCCAGACAGGTGTCAACAAGGGTCCTTCAAACTGCATGTCCTGAATTTGGTGCCCATTCTGTGACTGGAGCCAAGATGGGTGTGACAAGGGGGTCGTCTCTGGGGACAACCTCTGCGTAACTCCATGGTCCCCAGCAATTCCACTTAGGCCTCAGATTTGCACACTCCATCAACAAAACCAATGTTTTCACTGCATGGGGACTTGTAGCCCCCCTTCCCTCCCCAAAAGATGGCTCAGTGACCATTTGGCATCTGGTGCTGTTAAAGCTATTTCTTGAGGCTCTAGCCTGCCACACCACGCCCCCCACCCCACCCCTAGCTCTTGAATATTCTCCCACCACACCAGCTCCTCTCCAGAATATCTTCTTACCAATACAGTT